GTTCCTCAGGGTAGCATTCTTGGGACTATATTGTATAAAATTTTCACTTCGAACCTCCCTGATTTGCCTCAGGGTTGCCACAAATCTTTGTTCGCTGATGACACAGGCATTTCCGCTAAAGGAAGAAGTCTTCGTGTTATTTGCAGCTGACTTCAGAAAAGTTTAGATATTTTCTCTTCTTATTTACAAAAAAGGAAGATTTCTCCCAACGCTTCCAAAACTCAACTTATAATATTTCCACATAAGCCCAGGGCTTCCTTTTTGAAACCTAGTAGTAGTCACATAGTCACTATGAACGGAGTTCCAATTTCCTGGTCAAACCAAGTGAAATATCTTGGATTAATACTTGACCATAAATTAACTTTTAAAGATCACATTGAGGGCATTCAAGCCAAATGTAACAAATATATAAAATGTTTGTATCCTCTTATAAACAGGAAATCCAAACTTTGCCTGACGAATAAACTTCTAATATTTAAACAAGTTTTTAGACCGGCCATGCTTTACGCTGTGCCAATATGGTACCAGGAAAAAAGCACTTCAAAGGATTTTGAAGTTGCCTCCCTGGTACAGTACTACCGAAGTACATAAAATTTCGAATGTTGAGACTTTAGCACAAATGTCCAACAAAATAATTAATAATTTCCGGCAAAAATCGTTATAATCCTCAATTGCAACGATTAATTCCCTTTATACTTAGATAAGATTTAGTTTTAGTTATTTAGTTTTAAGCTATCAATTGTTATACTGACATGCAGGTTTAAAAAACCTGTTTAAAATACTGAATTGCCAAGACAGGAACAATGTAAAAACACTTAGATATATATCATAACAATTAAGGCTGGTAAGTTACTGTAGTAACTGGAGCACCTTGGTTAAAAATGAAATGTAATTTATTTTGAATTTGGAACAAATAAAGAGTTAAAAAAAAAAAAAACAAACACTTCATTAAAACGACGACAAAGAGCGTGCGGTGCACAGGAAGGCGGAGTAAATCAGCATGTCGAGTTGTTCTGGCTGGAACGTTGAAATTAATGTTGAAAATTCCCGATGCTCTTCTAAAGTCTGACGTTGATGAACATGCAGCGTGCTTCATAAGATAAAAGAGAACATTTTATCCTACATCATTTACGAAGAGCAAATAATAAGAATTGCTTTTGTACTGATTCTAATCGTTCTTCTTGCGTGATTGAGAAAGGTTACTAAATTATGCTGCAATCTTCCACTCACATATGAAATGTGTTGTATACCGGTCATGAAAAATATAATTCAATCGTTTTATAAAGCCAAGTGTGTTGTTTGTTGATAATTGTAATGACTAACGATTACTCATAAATCCCTAACTTTTTCACAATTTTTAACTTTCAATAATTCTTCTTAATCATGAAAGACTGCTTTTGTAAGCAATGACTTTATCCGCCGATTTCTTATTAATAAACATAGATGTTTGTTTAATGCTAAGGAGGATTTAGATTTCAAAACATTTTTATGCCGCTTTTAAAAATAAATTGTTGTAACATTTATAAGAGCCTGCAACGTGAACAGATTTTGAGACATGTGAGACCACCTCATAGCGTTAGAAGCCTCATGCAACATTTTTTAAATTTATTTTTACCCCACTCTCCTGCCTTCTGAAAAACCACGTATATAGACTGCGATAAAAGCTGCCGCCGTTGCACTCTGTATTTCTTAATTTCAGTGAAACTTGTACACCTAAAAGTTGGTGTTGAACGGTAATACTGAACTGGAATTAAATTTGAGAACAGTTCATTAATCGCTGCAATGTCGTTCAAGTCCCTTCATGGTGAGCCAGGAGCTCATACAAATAAATCATTATGAACATAATTTTCCTTCTAAATCCATAAACAAATACTGTAAAATGAAAAAAAAAAAAAATCTTCAATTATTTATGTCATGTCGTCCTGCAAGGGTTAATCGACTATTTAGTCAAATTATTTTTAGATTTAATTTGAAGAACAGATACTGAGAAGTAAAGCACACATGACGAGCAGGACACGTGTGTATGAGAAAATGTGCGAAAAACGTGATGGTAACCGATGTGTTTTTTTTTCTTCAGATTTCTCATCATGTGTCCTTCCATAAAAGCTAACAACAAAAAAGTCTCTTTAGGTACTGTTAAAGACTGTACTAGAAAAAAAGTGACACACATTGAAAAAAATTGTAACTTTTTAGCGTGTGTGTAAAAATTGTTGAAATTTGGACTGAAACTAGTTAAGAGTGTAATGTTTCCGCTGGCAGAATTGTAAGTGGTTATTTAGAAGGCATCGGAGCAAGAGCAGATCCGCCATAAAAATGTTGAGCGCCGTCATGTAAAATCAGACTGCGTCCCACAGATGGATCGGGAATCCATCATTCAACGATTTTCCGGGTGCTGAAGTTATTCAAAGAGATCAAGACGACCCAGCAGCGGGCAGGCTACGGCTGAAACCCGAAGACAGCTTACCCAGTGAAGGCCAGGAAGGTGTTGAGTCTGTTCAAGCGTCGGCAGAATCTTTCGATTCGTGATGCGTCGAAGAAGGCGAATGTTTTCATGTGGTTTGACCAAAAAACGATTAAATGCGCCAGCATCCACGTCTACAAGGTCCTGAAGGCACCCAACTGGAACGACAAACAAAAAACGGTGAACAACCCACACCAGGAAGCTGTACCGGGAGTAGCTGACGAAACATCAAGGTGGGCACAAAGCAGTTGCCGGGGCAGGAGTTTTACATTGCCACATCACGGTTGGCCGTTCCTGAGGAGGTAATGAAGAAGAAGGTGGACAAATTCGTCAAAAAGTTCTTGGTTTGGAGGAGTTATAGAAAGTGGAAACCTTATAAAGGTATATTAAATGCTGCCCAAATGTATACTACCGGAAATAATAATGTACGGACAGCACTTACATGAATGTAAGCATAAAGCATAACACCAACGTGGTAGCGCATATTACCCTCGCTTCTTCATTAATTAGAAGTGAAAATCGATCCTTAGGAGCGTGTATTACCCCATATTCCCCTATTATTTCTTCAAATTCGGAATAGTAGACTATACCGAGAAGGAGTGAATAAAGGAAGAAGAGGAGGCAAGCGGCTGGCGCTGTGGAAGGAAAATCGGTTGGAAGAAAAATGGAGAAAGTGGAAGCAAAGCTCATGTCACCTCCAAGCAAAACTAAGAAGAACTCATACATAATGTTTCTTAGGAATATTGTATGAACTATACAATATAATTATTTTTCGAGTCCGTAGAGTGTAGATTTAAAAAATGCCAGATCATTTCAAAATCGAAAGATTTTCTAGTCCGGACCGGGAATCGACTCCACCACCTTCGTCATAATAAAACCGTTCCATAATTTACTAAGCTATGTAAGGCCCCTGTAGTATTTTGAAAATAAGGTTATTTGCTGCTACTTTTACTGAACATATAAGTTTCGATCAGAGACCCCAACGTGACCAAACTCCCGAAAAGCGGCGGTAAAACGCAAGTTACAACCGTTTGATGCTCCCTATAGCATAAATACATTTTCTTCCAGTGAACTGAATCTTGTGTGCCACTACATATCTGAAAGCATACTCGCTACGATTTGATGACTTCCGCTCTCAATCCGGTCTTACATAACACAAACTGCAAGACCAAAATTAAATGAGCTTCATTATAAACGCAAATATATCCGACGGTATCTTGCCATAGTTACACTGAAGTTGGAGAAACTTTTGAAGTTATCGAGCAGTTAAAATTGGTTTGTGAATTCCCTGAAATTAAAGCTCTTTTCAATCGAATCATGAAGACTACCGATGATAAAAGGTTTGAATGTGTTATATAAAGATTCAACAATAATAGTTTCAAACCAGATTCTAGCCAGTCACGGAACACCAATTGATTAAAACCGTCCAGCAGCAATTAAACGAAGTGATAAGAAAGAACATCCTGATAAAACTTGACTGATAAGCTTAGACATATGTGCCTCTATAAGTAATGGATACCAATGTACGTGAGGTTCTCATTCGTACGTTTTTTTTTCTGAACCGCTTGATGTATGAAAGGGATGGAAAAGTTTTTGCTTTAAGCGCAACTTAAAAAATTTCAGATTGGATGACCGAAAGTTTGTGAGGAGATTCTATATGATTTCAAATGTAATTAAAACAAATTTAAGATGAACAACTCGTGAGGGTTCAACCCATTTTCGCTTGAAATCCAATGCATGGTTCGTTAACGATTAATTTCCACACTACAGCAATATTTTGGGTGAAGGTTCACAAAGTTTCTCTCACAACTTGGAAGCTCTGGGAATTGGCCGCACACATTTTGAATTAGGGGATAAAAACGAACGAGCATGTCTTTACCCTTGCTTCTCAGTTCTTCTAAAATTCAAACAAGTGGTGGATAAGGAATAGCATATGGGGAAAAGCTCTTAGTAACATAACCCTCCTCGAACATCATCTTGGCTTTTATATGACCTTCTTGGTTGTAAACGCAATGTATCTACAGACTGGTTAATGCTGGTGTAGGATATATCCTCGTAGTGAACGAAATGGGGGTTACCTTAATGGAACGCACTAGTATTGATTTATGGCACCTAGAGTGTGATAATCATTCCTTGTTAGGTGCAATTCCGATGAATCATGGCAGATGTGGGCATCCAAGGACTGGAAAATTATTGCTAATATGTTCGCTCACTACTCATGTTTAGCATGCATCAGACTGCCTCCACCGTTACTGCGCTCTGCTTCCGCAATCCACACGATTCTATCATATATCGTTAGTGATAAATTAATTAACGTCACTATAATGTGTGCCAAGTGATTCCATTTTCCTCGTTAACACGTCAGTCTTCCATAACGGCAGTGTAACATATCTCGCGGTTGCACAGCCGAAGGTACCAGCCACTCTAACCTATACAGCCTAGCCGTAGGTGGTTAGTATCCTCACACAAAAGAGGGTGTTTAGTGCTCCCCCCCCCACTACGGCAAACTGCTCTCGTGCATATACAGGAGCTAAATCACCAGTTTGCGTTTATGACAATTAGCACTCGTACGCGAATCGCACATAGAAATTCATTTGGGCTTCCACCTCTCGGCAACACTAACAATAGAATTGTTTCCGCCAAGCCTCGTTTGAAGTCATACACAATTGTACGAAGAGCGGTATCTTCCATTATCCACTCGAATCGTTTCGTGTATGAGAACACGAGAAAGTTGTGTTTTAATTCAATAATCCAATTTCATTCCGGTGTATCCAAACGGCACAAGTAACGATAACGGCCCGAGCACACCACGTGTTGTGTGGAGCCCCATTTCTCAGTAGCTCGTTAAAGCAGTCGGTGGGAACCACTAATCACACACCGTTGGTTTTTCCGTACTAACCGGACCTGCACAACAGAAATCCTTAACGGTGGCTGTACGCCTTTCCTTTTCACATACGCGTTTAGAGGATGCTTCTTTGGAGAGCTCTCGTAACGAACCGTCTATCTATAACGACGTACCGAATTCAACTAACCAGCATCCAATGTGAGGATGTTGCCACTGTTCTCATCTGTGGTAGATGTTTTCCCAAGATTTTCGTGGAGTTTGCGCGCTGGACCAGAGGCAGCCTTGATCTCAGAGCACTTAGAATGATGTTATCTCGTGCTCCTTACATGGATGCATTTGGGTCATTTTATTAGAGAGAGAGAGAGAGCTGAGTACCGAAATGAGCATCACATATAATTGTGACACGGTGTCTGTCAAAATGTCAGTGATACGTTTAGCTAACTTTCTCTTGTATTCCTGTTTCTATACGTTTTGTTTTCCTTCGCCCAGACCGATGCTGTGAATAGTCTACAACGAGGGGGTGGCAAAGAGGGTGGCAGCTGAGAAGACGCCATGTGACTTCCAAAACAGTGTGAAACAAGCGACAGAGAGTAAAGCATTGCTGATGCGCTTATTGCTACATGCTGTCAACGGTCGTGATAAAGTGAAAAATGGTGAATGTGGATGAGGCATTAATTAGTTTTGCTATTAATTTGCATGGGTCAATTTATGGTTTAGGTAAGATTTTTTTACCAACCGACATGGACATCGACGCAATCAACATAATAGCTGCTCCACAAGGAATTCTAGGCAGATCACACAATTTTGTATTAGTTCACCGTGACTATATTTCAAACTAAATGCTCAGAAGGAACAATATTCTTGTAACATTTTCCAATTAAATCCATGATTGCCAACTCAGTACACGGACTTAAAGGGTGAGAATATAAAATCAATGAATACGATTCACAGCGATTATCCCCAATTTAGAGATTACGGATTTTCACTATTTTATTTTTCTTTTTTTTTCGCCAGTCTCTTTTCCGTAAGCGAATGCCAATCAGGCCTGTTCTGGTAGCCAGCTATGAAAACCGAATTGTTTTTTTTTTAATCAATACTAAATGGGTGCAAACATCGATATGTTACTACATACGTTCCTCTAATAAAAAATACTGTGCGCCCGGGAAGTTTTGGACGCCCATCCATCAATGTACACTCATATGAAGGATTTGCGTTGCAAATCATACCTCTCATATCAGCGCCGTAAAGCGTGGAAATAAAATATTACAAATTCAAAAACGTTTGACAAATATCTCGCCTACAAATATGCTATGAAAAATGTTCTGCACTCCGCGTATAAATCCAAAAAAGTTCCGAGAACTACAGGAAAGTACAGTACTTTGTGAGAGTACACTAGTGAGAACACTAGTGAGTAAACTAGTACAGTACTTTGTGAGAGTTTAAAGATATTTAAGGGTAAGTTCCGAGAACTTCAGTGCAGTTGCGGTGGTGGTATAGCGTGATTGCCTGTGGGGCTCTGGGCTCAATCCTAGTCGGCGCCGCCGGAATTTTCAGTAGCATAAAATCTCTGATTACGCCTACCTTCGGAAGGGAAGTAAATCCGTTGGTCCCCGGTTCGTGAGTTGATGGGTCGTTAGGTAGGGTCCAGCTGTGGGGGCTGCCTCCCTGGCGTCGGTAGCATTGGTACTCAGCACGGAAAACAAGATCGACGGAAAACAAATCAAGGAAAAAAAATCCAACGGTCTCTTTCAATTGTTTGAATTCTTATGGTGTTTACGCGAAAAATATTTTTTTCCCCAGTGCGTCGTTACATAAGATTTCACGATATATTTTCTTACGGATTTTTTAATATGATATTTTTTATTGAGTGAATATGATCTAAATGTTCACCGTTGAATTAGTTTTCTATAAATTATGAAGTAAGCATTACCAGATTTAAGAAATATGATAATTCTAGTGAACATGAGGGAATAGTCTTCAAACAACAGAACTTTACTGCGTTAACAAGCGGTGAGAGCTGCAACCAAACATTGTTAAAGGTAAACAAAATTGAAAACTCTGCTGTGAGCATGATAACCTTGTAAATAATCATAAAACCTCAAACACCGAAACGACCCTACAGGTGAACGGAAGACGAAGGATAAACATTTTGGCAATATTGCTTCATCGCCCGGAGGCTTTTGCTGGCTCGTCTTTCGTTTATGAATAAACACCGGTTGGTGGCGCACAACGGGATGCAAAATTAACTGAACAAAAATTACCATTTCCAGAATATTTTTTTTATTGTAGTCACTTGAACACTCTTGGGTCATTCGTGACTTGTCCGGGATGAGATTTGATTACGTGACATTAGCGTGCGAGGTATGGATGTTAACCACAACGCCGGAGCTGTCGCCAAACAATTATTGTTATTATTGTCAGTTCCAGCTGGATGAATTAGCCAAAAATGACAAATCTATGAAGGGAAGGAAGAGAGAATAGTCTATTTACTTACTTTACCTTACTTTAATTTCATCCACCCAGATTTCTTCAACAATGTGCAGATATTCAGCGAATCACCGTTATGAAAACCTTATATAAAATATGTTCTCTATCACATGCACAAGTACTTAAATTCTTGAAAGCCATTCCCCTTAGGAATCAGGGAGAAAGCTTCAAGGTCAGAGCAGCATTTTTGGCGACCTTTTCTAACCATCCCATAGTGCGGTGGTGTGGTTTCTTCAGCCGGATGTTCGCCCTCATATTTATATATTCAAAACTCTCATCCCAGATTGAAGCATGGTTGCGTTTGGAAAACAAACTTCAAGCAGACTCCTGGGCAAAACAAGATGAAAATTAATCGAAAATTTCGTTACTCCTAAGAAAGTCAACAAGCTATGCAGACATTTAATAAAAAGAACTGTAAATAGTTCAAAAGATTCTGAGGCTGAAACGCATCGATGTATTTTGCTTTATATTAATATTTGTCAACGTGTTTGCGATGCTATCAAACGAACTGTTATGAATCGTAATAGGAAGCAATGGCATGTACCGAGATAAAGATTTACAAATCTTACTTGTAAGTTCTGAGTTTAAAACAACATATCATAGCTGCTATCATAAACAGAGCCCTATTCGATAACAATCTCGAACCAAGGACAGAGTTATGCAAGTGGCAATAATTTTCGCAATGAATGTAGGGGTTATATTTCATGCTCAGTGTTAAAATTTATAGAAAACTAAAAAATTAATGAACAGCTTGCAGGCATCGCAGCCCACATCGTCGCAGTTCTAATAGTTATGGTATGGTGGTAACAGAAGGAAAGCAGTGCCAGCACGACACAAGAGTTATTCAGCTTTTCTCGAGGCCAGACGCCAGCGCTATCGTTTGAGCTTTTTTTTTTTTTCATAAAGTCACGAAAGTAGCTTAGAACGCTACCTCCGTGTATTTGGCGCTGCATGTGTATTTGCTTGTTTAGGAATTCGTGGCACTCACTGGAAGCATGATGTGCCTGACTTCGCAAATGCCCGCTAAAGGCGAGAAGCCGGAAATCGTGAGACCGAAACGCTTTGAACATAATAATTTTTTCTGCTTTCATCATTTTCACTAGACTTTGGTAGTGGATGAAGGTGTAAGTCTCAATATAACATACCAACGTATATCCTCCTGCTTATGGTTGAGGCAAGAATGAACGGAAAAGCTGGAAAGTGAATTTATTATCGAAGAATAGCTGAAATGCACGTGATAGGCCCCTTTGGGGATAATGGAACTACTTGTTTCATTTGAGATGATTAATTGTACGAAGCCGAAATTTTTGTCAGTGCGAATCTCAACCTGAGGTAGGTTTTAAAAACAAACGATCAAACTGACGTTTGTCAGAAAGCAAATAGACCCGATCCAGGTTGGAACTGAATAATAAACGAATTTGATATAAGATCATCTTTCTGCTTTAATGTACACTCAACTCTGTTTTTACGCGATTTTAGTTTTTAAAATTTTACCCTCATACAAGATGGGTAGGGGAATTGACGGCTTCGGCATGACAGACTATTTTCGGCAACCCAAATTGAAACACTATTTTCACTGGATTTTCTTACGAAAACACTTCGCTGAATGCATGCAAACGATTCTTTATGCTTTCAGCTTCAATTTGGCTATAATTTAACCACTGAGAAAAAGCAATCTAGCAAGGTTTTCTTGAAATGAAACACAGGCACTACAAATTGTAGCTGATTTCGAGTTGCCGATAATAGAACAGCAGATTTACATGCAGTTTGAATGGAACGATTGCCGAAGAAAAACTGGTTGCCGACAATACTCGCTCTCACTAGAAGATTGGAGCTTTGTAAAAGCGTTTCAAAACAGTTTTTGATAATTCTTTCGACTGAAATTGTTAGAGCAGCTGGCAGCAAAAGATTGTAAACAAACCAATAGTGCATATGTGTGCGTTCCTTAGAGAAAAAGGCTATAGAAAGAAGGTCGCTGCTTAGGTTGCCGAGAATACTTTAATTCCCCTATGTCATTTTTAATACCATCATATTTTTCTTTGATTTTCTTCTGATTATTTGAAACAATTTATATTAAATTTGGTCTAAAAACCCATTTTCATATTTTGCATGTAGGGTGTACCAGTTATGGCGTGTATTGGTGTGTTCCAATATGGTAGGGGAAATGTATGTAATGTCGACGTAAGGTCCCTAATTTGGGCCCATACATAAATTCAGCAATCGACTAAATTTTCAATAGCAACCAAAAATATCCATTAGTACCGTCCCAATGACGCGTTCATCTAGATACAATTGATAAATAGCAGATTTTTAGCGATGGGCCCAATCTTAGATCCATAGGCCAACATTAGAGCCATTTCCCCTATATCTACCTTATATCAATTCTCCCACACCTGTACCTTACCTATCAACCCATCAACTCATGAACCGTGGATCAACGGCTTTACTTCCCTTCCGAAGGAAGAGGTGACCAGAGATGTTATGCCTCAGAACATCCCGGCGGCGCCGACTCGGATTGAACTCAGGACTGCTGGGGTGAGAGCTAATCACGCTTACCACTACACCACCGGCGCAGCGCATCTCACGATCGCAAGACAAAATCTTTCCTTAATGTTCGATAGTCGCCCCCCTCTATTTTCGCAGAATTCTTTAATAT